CAAAAGATCAAAGCATTCTTACTCTAATGATCAAAGATACCTACAAAAACAAAGAAAGCTCTTTTGAAGCTCTGAGCCCATTGTTAAGCAAAGGGTGTAGTCTACATATAGCGAACGCTTCTTTAAACAATAGGATAGACCAGTTTCGGGAGCTGATAACATCCCATTACACATCAAACATGCAACTTTCATCATTACATTTAAATCTCTTCTCAAAAACCATTTATTTAACTGACTTATGTTATGGTTTATAGAATGGCCCCGAAACTGCTATAATACCGGGTTGGTGTCCGGCGTGGGATAGTTTAACTAATTTTAGCTATTATGAGTAATATACTCTATTTAAGAGTAGTTAAGCCTAGCTTAAGGTAGTTAGGGACATCCTGGGTACATTAAACTCCATCCGGTCTAAGCGTCGGCGACTAAACTGACAACCCTCTCAAATATCTTAGTGGCTGCTGAGGGGAGGGTGTTTATGGTCACCCAGCAGCAAGAAAAACCAATAGCTGAACAAAGGGCGGATGAGCTCATTCGAGTCAACGGCCAACCATTAATTAGTTTAAGGAATAGGTGTAGTTTAGTCTCATTGTTATTGTTATTATGATTATTTTTATTTTATTTTATTGTTATTATTTTATTGTTATTTGCATTTTCTCAGTTGGCCTATATTATTTCTCTGTAAAGCGCATAGGGGCAGTGTGCAATATGCGCTATATAAATATAACATTATTATTGTAATGATGATGATGTTATCACCATTGTTATCACGGTGTTATCACCGTGATAATGATATCATCATCAACTTAAATGGATTTCAAATACGCTTATATGGCTATACTGTATAAGAAAAGGAAAAAAATACATATGATGCGTCAATTAAGTAAATTTAAAATTGATACCAAAATTCTTGAATATGTATTATACTTCGATGATATCCAGTATGATTTATTGTTGTTTGATGATCTGGGGTGGAAGTCTTAGCACAGAAGACAAAAGTCTACTTGAAAAAATTACACATAGAAATGGGTGCTATATCATTGCTATTACAAGTAGGCTGAAGACATCCTGTCTCTTGGCTCTTCTTAGGAGTCCGCAAAATAAAGCTAGCCTAGGCCTACATCTTGTTGCAATCCCTTCAAATGGCATCTGACCAGTTTGTCGAAACCCACTTTGCCGGATTCATGCCCACTTTGTTAAAACCCAGATTGCCAAATCCAGTTTACCGAATCTTGCCATCACCGTCATACAGAGGTACAGTTTTCAAAAAATGATGGGTGGGTCAGTGAAGAGCTATATTTATATAAATTAAAAGGTAAATATTGGAAAACAATGGCGCAGTGTAAAAATTAAGTGGTACAGGCAAAAACGTAGTGGCGCAGTACAACTACACTCTTTTTTTTTAAATGCTCAATGTAAAACATGACAAATTTTCGACTTCGTTGACTGGGCAAAATGAAGCTTGCACATGCCCACCCCTTGAAGAAAAGTAGCAACTCATTATCTTAATCACGATGCAACATTTTTATTAACTGGTAACATGTTAATCAGGCCCGTAGCCAGGTTCTTCCAAGGGAGGGTTTTCTGGGCGCGAGGTCCACAGTCAATGCCCCGGTGAGGTCGCCGAAACCCACAAAGCAAGAGGATTTTTGTGCTTTATGGGTCTAAATAATGCTATAAAAGCAGATATGTTTGAAAATGTCTGTGTCTGGGTGGGTCTGCAGTGCATTTAGGGTTGGAGGACTTATTTGAGAAATTTAAAGAGGGGGTTTCGCTAAAAAGGGGGTTTATCCCGAACCATAACTCCCCCTCCCTGGATATGGGCCTGTTGTGAGCTGTTTTTTTTTTTTTTTTTTTTTTTTTTTATTGATCTTACCAACCCTTATAGATTGGTGGCAGTGCCAGTGGCATATCTAGAAGTCTTGAAATCAGTGCAGTTGTGTGGGTAGATTCTAGGGGTGCATCTCTTAATTTGAGTCCTTTGTAGGAAGATTTGACACTGTTTTGGGATGAGCTTTAGCTTTATTACCACAGACAGAGTTTGAGAAGTAGAGATCAATTGTATTACACTCCATCTGTATTATAGTACAGTAGTATGTATAGTAGTAGTAGTACACAAAAAACATTTTTTACTTTAGTATTATGATTACAGTATTTGTATTTTAATTTCATTGTATAATTTACGAAAAGTACAATCTATATCTATAAAACATTTATCAAAACTATTTATACTACTTAAATCAAGTACAAAACAATTACCTGTATACAGTAAATCCTTTTGTCAAGGATATAGGCCTATATGAAGAAACGAAAGGATGGGCAAAGGGTGAGTGAAGGACAGCGACGTAACGACTATGGGGTCTCGTGGAGCCAAGCCCCGGGACTCCCAGTCTAAAGAGATGGCCCTCTTACAGTGCCATTTTAACAGAGCCTTGACATACATATATATTTATAAATATATATTTATACATATACATATATATATACATACATATATATATATACATAGATAGATATATATATATATATATATATATATATATATATA